CCATGTTCTTCTTTGATTTCCAACAAGCAATGGTGAAGATGGGCCTTCTTGATGTCAAAGAAGATTCCAAGGGTGAAGTACGAGAAAATTGCCGCAAAATAAACTGAATGAATTGCGGGCTTGTTATTGTTTTATCTTTTATGGCAAACTCTCAAAGCTTGCCGTTATAGTTTAAACGTACATTATATGCATATTATATAAATTAATGTGTATGGTTTGCTTTAAATTGTTTTCGTCGGGTGTATTTATATTTACAGTACAATATCAATATATCTACTCTATATTTCTGTGTTATCTAGGTGTTACATTTAAGATTTTATTCTGATGTTCACATTGATAAAATACAATAATACAATTGATGTTGATGACAATAAAGATGTAAATGGACATAGGGAATAACAGACAAGAGTTGTCATTGTTGGCCTTTTCACATTATTGGGCTTGAAAATTTATAACATTTAAGACTTTGAAAGAGATTTGGGCTTTGACTTAACCAAATAATTTGGTTGTCCTTATATATAATTGCATTGATGAGAATCTTATTATAATCTGTTTTAATAATCAGCGAGTAATTGGTAACATTAATCATATCATCGTATGCCGAAAATAAAGGAAGAAACCAAGATTAGCCGCCAATAAAATCCACCAGTCACCCTTTTATTATAATAATGAACATACTAGCTAGGTATCAATTGCTGTGTGCTTTTCTACGCCATACAATGATCATGGAAACATCAATTAGTACCTAAGATAATCATAATTAAAACCTAATTGTATTTTAATCCCTCTTTTTACAATTGGTATCCTAAGCTCTAAGCTTAACATTAATCTTACCGGTGGAGATCTGCATTCTATTATAGGGCTCATCAAATTACAAAAGTTAATTTCTTTCTGCGCGTGCGCCCGACCAATATTGTTTTTCCACTCAGCAAGATCTAGCAATTTTTTCATCACACCTTGAACTACGAATCAATGAAATGTAACTAAAACCTAAGTATTGTATGACCTTATTGTTGCGCAGTTTCATAAATAAAACCACTTTTATCCCTATCTATTGGCAGCCGAAACCTTCAACGAGGACACTATTTATCTACGTTTTTTTTGGTACAATATTTATCTACGTTTTTACTGTAGGGGACAGTTATATTGCCTATTATTTTAATTTTTTTTCGCTATTCAATTAGATTTAAATTAATGATTTTAAACACCAAAAAATTAAATAAAAGAAACAATTGTTACCTTTTCTCTCTTCTAAACACAATAAAATTTTAAAATTGTTATACTGGAAGCCCCACACCTAGATAATTCATAAAAAAGAGAGGAAAAAAAGATAAAATTATTTGTCATTTTAAAATGAGTAAAAGATTTCTCTAGTCACCAGAGATAAAATTATCTCTAGTGAGCTCAAAACGACGTCGTTTTGGGACGGAAATCAAGATTTTTTGTAATTATAATATATTTCGGAGTTATATTAGTCTTTGTCTTTAAAAAATTTTAATCTTATAACACAAAACGACGTCGTTCTGACCTCACTGGAGATAATTTTATCTCCGGTGACTGGAGAAATACTTTTCCCTTTTAAAATACACAATTTTGTGCCATTTTTAATAAAATTATGTCGTTTTGATATGTATTTGGTGACTTTTTATATTTTCTCTCTTCAATACACATTAAAACGACGTAGTTTAATTAAAAATGACACAAAGTTGTATTCTTAAAATGACAAATATTTTTCCAAAGAGAGAGAACTAGATGCAAAAAAATTTAAATTTTTTTCTCAGTATTCTCATAAATTTTAACTCTTTCAATCAATTATGAAATTAATTCCGAGATAGAACTTAATCACTATTAAAGCTTTTAATCTCTTCACGGAATGATTCTCTCTCCATTTTTAATATTAAATACAGATGTTGCCGCCTATGTGTCAATATATGACACGTGGTTGTTTACGTATCTAAACATGGGAAATTTTTAAAATAGTCCGAGACTATCAAATTTGTTTGTGGTCCTTTTCCTTTTTTGATAAAAAAAGGTACCCTTAAACCCTTCCCTTTTCTTATATTTCTCATTTAATCCCTTTTGTTTTCTATTTTTAGGAAGGAGCAACATGTTCGGGGACCGTAAGAGAAACGATCCTAAACATGAGTACATCTTTTTTTCTAAAAATAATTGAGTAAATTTCACAAATTCACTATCTAGTTTTTGTTTATGCAAAGTTTTTTTTCTTTCTATTTTTTGAAATTTAATATATAAAGTAACTAATATTGATATAGTATTGAGAGGTTTAGATAATTTATATAAAAAAAAATCTAATATATAAGAGATGAGGAATTAAGAGGACAGTACAGCCTTTTTTCAAATTATATGCAAAAATGTTTACCAAAATAAAAAAATTATATACCAAAATTATACGGGATAATTTTAATATATATAATTATTAAAAAGGATATGTGATAATAGTTATAACTATTGATAGTGGATTAGTGGGGTGGATCGAGTGGGATTGAGGTTAACTTCTGTTTTTTTTTTTTAAATAAGGAATCCTGATTTTTATAAATAAGTAATATTTCAAATTTTTTAAAAAAAAAATATTCTTTTTAAAAAATTATTATCGAGATGTATAAAATTACTCAAAAGAATTTTTAAAAAAAAATATCTTTTCTAAAATAAAATAAAATAAAACTATCCAAACGCATAAAGACTACTCACCTTCCCAGTACCATCTATTATTTTATTTTTATCAGTTCTAGTCTGCTACTCAAGTTTTTTGGTAAAATAAACCCTTTGGCCTTTGCAACCTTTGAAACAAAATAACAATACTTAAACTATTCTATTTTAAAGAAGGGGATGGATCCGTTTACAAATTTTTTTTGAAAATTTTTACAAATTACACTATGTTTTTTCGGGAGAACATCGTGTAACCAGTGTTTTCGCGGGAGACCATAGTGTAGTTTGTAAGAATTTATAAACAAAAAAATTTATAAATATAACATGTCCCTTAAAGAGCTATATAATTTGATATAACAACAAATACGAGGTATGAATTATATAACACTGGCTCTCCGGAAAGCACGGACACGCTCCAAATTGGAAAATTTGCGTGTCGGACACGTGTCCGACACGGACATGCTCGGACACACATCCGACATGGGGTCAATATTTGAGGACACGCAGTCAACTCTCTGACACGTTCTGACACATTTTTCTGACACGCAGTCAACTTTTTCTGACACGCGATCAACGCTCGGACACGTTTTTTTTTTAAAATTCTAATTTTATTTTGTTAGCTAAATATAAGAGAAATAATTTATAAATTAATTTTTTTCTGTTATAAAATTTGACACGAGAAATTAACAAAATACGAAAAATTATTTATATTTATATTTATGTTATGAAATTTAAATATTTGATTGGTTATATGACTTATTATGGACTCTTATATGTATTAAATATAAATTATATTATATATATTAAAAAATTTATTTAATATCAAAATATGTCCCAACGTGTCGAAATATGACATTTTTTAGAATTAACGTGTCGTCGTGTCGTGTTGTGTCCCGTGTCCGTGTTGTGTCCCGTGTCCCGTGTCCGTGCATCATAGTTGGTTGTCCCCTGTTATTTCAACGTTAGAAAATTCATATTCTACAGTCTTCAATCAAAACTTATATTAAGGAATAAATAACAGAAAATAATGCTCCCTTCTATTCTGTTCTGAGCAGTGTTATTGAACCCGACCCGGGTACCAACTCAGGTATCTCGGGTATCTCTGGATCATTGATTAGATCGATTGACCTGTGTATGTATATATATGGGTTTGATGTTTGTCATTTAAAATGACACAAGTTATGTCATTTTAGGAGAGAGATAGACACAAGAAATGAAAATCATGAGAGAGAAAGTGGTTGATTTTTTTTTAAATTTAAATTTTAAATAAAAATTATTATTATGTATCTATCTCTCTCTTAAAATGACATAACTTTATGTCATTTAAAATGAGAAATATTTTTTTCATATATATATTTCATATCTAAAATGAGTTAAACAAGATTCACTATGTATATTCTCATATCTAAAATGAGTTAAACAAGATTCACTAAATAAGCTAAAAAATTACCCAATCAAACAACTTTTACAAGTTCATGAAGTACAAATAAATGAAAATGTACGTTATTACTGTGTCAATTTAAATTGCAACTCAGAATTTCCATATGCATTCCTCTCAATGACATTGAACTCATATTTTTCAAATTCATTTACATTAACATATGTCATAGTCTCTTAATTTATTGTTCCGCAAATTGCTTCAGTATTTGGAAGCTAAAATTTGATGTTGTTGTATAAGAGTATATTAGTAAATAAAATTACAAAAAAAATTAAAAAAAGTTTTATATTTTTTTTCTGACAAGATGAAACAATTTTAATTTTTGGATTTTTTTTTATATATATAAATGCATGACCCGACCAGGTCACCGGTTTTAACCGAATTTAGCTGAGTTTTGAATGAATTTGACCGAATCCGATGCATGATCAGTCCAATGCTTGACGTCAGGTTTCAGATGGGGCCGGTTTCACAACAATGGTTATGGTTACATATTTTCTTGAAAGAAAGGGGTTTTAGTCACCATTCTAACATGTACGTGTTCTGCAAGACCCTCCTCAACAAGCCATGTATGCTGCATCTCAACATTAGCGAATGCTGTACAGCAAATAAATTTTCCTCAGTCGATTAATAACAATCAAGAAATTGACACAAGACAACTAAATCTGTAGATTGATGTGAACATAGCCAACTCTTTTGCACCCAAACTAAACCACATTACATCATTCTCACGAAATTAAACAAAGAAGGATCAAGGACACATGACCCAAAAATATTAAAATATACAAATACTCTGAAAGTTAAATAAACGAAACAAAATAGGAAAGATAGTTTAGTAAAACAAAGGAGAAAACTAAACCAACCTTAAACAATAACAACTTAAAGAAAAGAAATTGCCTCATCCTAGCAAGCTAGTAGAGAGATTTCTCTTGGCAAAAGTGTTCTTGTTATTTTGCATCCACACTTTGAGGACTCTTCTCTTGATTCCAATCTCTTTGCAAAACTTCTGCACTACAGATTCATCTAGCTTCTGTATCCTCCACCCTGCCTTTTCTGCAAAACACAGCAACTTCTCCTTCTGTTCTTGTGTGAACTTGGTTCTGATTCTCTTCTTCCCCTTCTCAGTTGAATTTTCATCCTTCTTAATCCCATCTTCATAGTCCTTCTCATCAGAATGATCAGAAGGACTAATTGACCCACTTTTGTTGGGAAATAAATGAGCCAAAATGGGATTTGTCTGAGTAGTAGTATCAGGAATCAGTGAAAGAACATAATGCTGAGAAGGGCAATTAGAATCAGAATCTATCTCTTTTCTGTGAAAGTTTCTGTGACAAATGCAAGCTGAACACTTGAGAGCCTCAAGGGTTCCTTCTTCACCAACAGGCAAGAACTCACCACACCCATCAGTTGCATTGCCACCAATTGCAGCTGCATGGTTCTTGAGACATTCCTTGTATCTTATTACCTTTTTCTCTGGCTTCTTGTCAACATGAAAATTGTTAGACTCCATGTTCTTTAGAAACTTCTACAAATGAATGACTATTGATAAGAGAATGAACAAAGGAAAACCTTCATTCTATGATTAGGAAGATAGATTGAAGCAAATGAGAAGAAATATGTTATATATATTGAGGAGGTCTTGATTGTGAATTTTGCAAGTGAAGCAACAAAAGGAATTGTATAGTATATATATATAATATTATTGAGGAGGAGGTGTATGTAATGGACGTTTACCATATACCACTAAAATGAGTTTGTTGGCTGATTGACTCTTTTGCGTTGAATTGGAAGAAATTTTATGTGAATATCCCATCTGCTATATTTGTTGTATTCAAAAAGAAAAAAAATCTTTTATATTTATTCACTCAATTAATACTACAATTGTGAATCAATAATTATAATAATTGTGAATTATTAATTATCAATTAATACTAATTATTAATTATTACAATTAATAACTACAATTCACTAATTACTAAAATTAAAATCCAATAATTAAATTACTAATCATTAATTATATTATAAATTAATGATTTTTAATTTAATTATTGACTTTTAATTTTAGTAATCCATAATTTCTAATTATTAATTGTAGTAATTGGTGATTTGTAATTAATAATTAAAATATTTTGTAAATCATTTATAATCAATTATTGAATTCACATAATTTTATTTTATTTTTGGTAAGCTATTCACATAATATTTTTATTAATGGATTTACACAACTCTTGCCTGGCGAATTATCCATAAATACTAAGCACTTATTAACACATTATACATAAAATTTGTATTAATGATTAATTAATTCTTAGTATTGATCATGAATTATTAATATAGTAATTAATAATTGTAATAATATATTAATTTTTTTTTTAATAAAACCCCAAATAACCCACCCAAAAAAAAAACTTCAACCTATTCTGTGATAAATTTTAAAATTATTATGTACTTTGTGTTAAACTAATGATGAATATATCCTAGTTTTACATTTTTTAAGACAAATTCATTTTGAAGACAATTATTCTCAAAATATTATTTTATTAATTACTTTTGCTAGAAAAGTAGATCAGAAAGTTAACGGTTCATAGATATATGTTGTCTTGTCTCTGTAAGTGACTAAGTGTATGAGAGAGATAGAGAGGAGGGGGGGGTCTTAATTACAACGGAATAAAGAAAGCACAAATGTCATTAGAGACAATTAAAAAGTTGAGAGTGCATGTTGTTGCTTTGCTTAGCATACACTGTTAGACGCCAATCTTAGGCAATTAGAAAGTGTTGTCCTTTTAAAAGTATTAAGCTTAAATTAATAAAAGGATTACCAACCAAAAATAAGAAAAGAAGAAAAATTAAACAGGAAGCCGAAGGAGAATATTTGTGGAGATCCATTGCTTCGCAACAAGTGCATTACTTTAATTAAAGAGGGTTGGACTGTCCTAGATTTGGTTTGTTGTCCCCACTCTGCTTTGGTATACCAACGTTCTATAAAGGTATAATTTAGTATAAAAAGGTAGAGATCATTTTCAGTTTCTATGTCCAAACAAGCTTAATAGAAAAGTCTTGATTTTTTAACATAAACTTTTTTCACATTATTTTTAAACTACTTTCAGTTTTTTTTCAATAAAGATATTGGTCCTATTTAATTTGTAAAAGAAACAATACTTTAGTGTGTGAGTCTCGAAAATACGTACGTCGGATGTTAAATGTAAAAAAATTCAATAAAAGCTAAATGATGTAAGAAAAATTAATCATAACAGAGATATAGAAATAGAAAATCAACATTTTATTTACACAAAGTAGATATATAGCGTACTATTTTTGTTTTATCCAAACATCAAATGATGGCAGAGGTCATAGCACAGAATATTAAGACATCTTTTTTGTGAACTACGCGCATCAACAAATATTGCCGTTTAGTTTGACCTCAGTCGGGTTAATATTATTATATATCCTCAAAAAGTAAAGTAAGAAGTTAATATTCTTCACTTTCTACAAGTAAATGGTGATGTCCGTATTAAGACTATAAAACGAAACTAATTTCAAAGGAAAAATAACCAAAAAGGTTTGGAGGAAATAAACCATAAGGTTAATTAGTACAATATTATGTATATTCACTCCTAACACTTCCTAAGTGCACAGAGAATTCATTATCATAAAAGAGTGCCTCGATCATTCAAGTCGTGTCTTATCCTTTGAAAAGTAAACCAGTAATAGTAGTTATAATAATTATATTAAGTCCTGCATATTTACTATTAATTAATATATAGCTTTTGAATAACAATAATCACTGAGCAAGAAGAAGCTGCGAATTGTCATCTACCATGTTATTGGCTTATTGCAACCAATTATTAAGCCCTAAGCACAAGTGGCAACCTATAATAAGACCACTCTATACCGCCGATTGATGCAACACCTGAAATAATCATAGCCAATGTGCATGTTTTTTTTTTTGGTTGATTAAGGTATTTTCTTGTTGACAGTTGAAGATTAATCTTTTCGAGACAGGAATTAATTCTTTTGAGGTAGGAGATAATATGAAGTTAATAAACTTCTTTCAATAAAGTATTTTCTATACACATGGACAGATATAGAATCCAAACATGTTTAAGAAATCAAACTATTTACTAATTGCTTTATTGGCATTGATATGTTATTTTTACAATTGTATAGATCGAGATATATAATATTAGAGTTTAATAATAAGCCCTTATAACTATTGATGTCAATTTTTGACTCTCCATTATATCTATCTATTGGATAAAAGTATAAAATTTCTTTTATCTGTACATAAAATTAATCTCATTAATTGCAAAGAGAAATATCTTGTAAACTTGACCTGGCATTGGAAGTAATAGAATGGGTATTTTTTGGTGTGGATGTGTGATGCCAAGGTAAAGAGTGGTTAGAATTACGTGCAGTTCTCCAGGTCAGTAAAAGCGATAAAAAGCTTATTACAAAAAAAAAAAAAAAAAAAAAAAAAAAGAAGCGATAAAAAGCTTTTGATTTGTCAAGGCCCTGAGTGGTCCAACGTATTACATTTATAATTAGGAGAAACACCACTCAACATTAACTATGTTTTTCTTTTATTGTTATCAATGATTCAATGCTAACAATAGGATACTGACCCCATTATAGGGTTCATGATATGGGCATATGCATTGCCACTAATTGAACGTAGAAGAAGTCAATGAATATTAATATATAGGCTTTTCTTTACCAAATTTTTTTTTTAAAAATTATTGAATTAATTCTTCGTGGAAATTATTTATCAAAATAATCAGTATTAATTCATCCAAGGGAGACTACGGGTCGCCTTATAAATTTCACTCCATTTTTTATGTATCCTTTGACTTTATATAAAATAATATTAAATTTATCAATTTAAATAATAATCAATACCGTGAATAATTTTCAATTATTTAATATGGTCTTTTGGAATTCCTATAAATTTAAAACGTCATATTTACGGTTAATAACAACAATTTTACTATTGATTTTTTTCCTTTCTTTATTCGTTCAAAAAAATTCATCAGATATAATGAATATTTGTTATCATATTTTACAAATTATGTTTTAAAAATTACGAAAAGATGATAAAAAAATTATAATTAAAAATATTATTGGGCACTTCCATTGTAGTACTTTCAGCAAACAAGAATGATGTTTTTTCATCATTTTGATTATGGGTTTTATTAATCTCTTTTTGCATAAGATGGGTATCTTATGTTGTAGAGAGAAACTGGGTGGGTCCCACAATTACAAGAAAAAAGAAAAAGAAAAAAAAAGTGAGGTGCGAAAATCGAAGTGAGAGAAAATGAGATAAGTTACCCCATGTAAAAGGAGAGTAATATTTCCCTTTGATTATATTATAAGTTGTTCTAATATAACTAGAAACTCCTCCTAGCATCTAATTACTCTTGCTTGCTAATCTCTCAGCTGTTGGGAGACCTCGTGCTTTGAGTTGCAATAGTTAAGTTGTTTTATGTTCTTTTTTTGTTTTGTGGCTTATGCCTTTTATTTATAAAAAAAAAAAAAAAAGTTGTTCTAAAATCAAAAATATCTTGGATCCAATTAATTAATTAAAATATATATATAAATGTTTTGAATATATACTTATAAATAAATTATTTTATTTTTCAACCAAAAAAAAAGTATTTTATTCATTAACATGTTTATGTTATTTCTCACTCTAATTTCAATACGTTATAATATTGATTACAAAAATATTTCTATTAAGGATTAAAAATGAAATATATTTTTTAAATATTTCTTTTAAACAATAAACAGCATAATATATATATTTTCTAAATAGACATTATTCGGGGGGGAAAAACTCCCACATGTCACATAATCAAAATAATCATTTATATATCAGCATCTTTTATTTTGACAAATTATTTTTGAGTTCGTAAAGATTTCAAAAAAATGCAATAAACAAATTACAATTATTTAAATTTTTAAATTTAATTAAACTGATTTAATATCAAAATAATAATACCAATTTTTAATTTAATGTCAAAATAATAATATATGGAGTGAGAAAATAAGAATGGAAAAGATAGTAAATTTTGGGACGAATCACTAAGATGTTGTACGGCTCATGTTAAAATTAAATATCCTTACATATATCAACTGTTAATTTAAAGACTAAAATAATTAAGTTATGACTTGCTAGCTATCCAATAATTTCTCTAAAATAGTCTTCCTGTTATAAAGGCTTGGTTTAACCGGTTCACATCAAGCACAATTGTTCCAATGGGCCACAACAGCGAAACAAAGCATGCAATAAAAATTGAAAACAAAGTTAATACTTCAATGGTGATGTGATACTGAAGGATAAGGGATCAACAATTATTGTATTTGGCAAAACGCAATGATTATAGGTGCCTGTATTACAATGAAACTACTTATCAAGTTCCATGAGAAAAAGATTGCACTTTATATTGCTATAGGCCACAATAACAAACAAAGTATCAATATGGGTAGACTTCATTGCAAGGTATGACAAGAATT